GGCGGCGGCGTGGACAGGCGCGCGAAGCGGACGACGTTCCAGTTCCTGCTCCTCGGCCAAGGCGGCAGCGGGAAGACGGCCCTGGTGCGGGGGGTCGTGCTGCCAGCCATGGGCGCGCTGTTCCCCTGTGACACTGGCCGAAGTCCACGCTGGTCGTCTGCGCGATGTGGCCCCAGGCCGCGAACATCTCCACCGATGCTCAGAAGGCCGTCAGTTGCCACTGGGCGGGGGTCATCGGAGCGCAGTCCTTCAGGAACAGGGACATGCCCGCAGGGGGCAAGCTGAAAGCGCTGCAGGGCGCGTGGGAAGCGGTCAGGTGCATGAGCTTGGAGAAGGTCAGCACGATCTCGCCCAACCTGTGCAGCGTGCCGGCGTTCTGGTCCTACCTCGGACGCGAGGCCGAGTGGGGCGCGGAGGGGCGGGGGCGCGACCAGGTCGGCGGCGCCTTCGGCCGGATGCCCATCGTGATCCACAGGGGGGTATTTCCTGAAGCTGAAGCCGACGGGGGTGAGGTGTCCCTCATCTCGAACTTCGAGGAACTGGCGCCGGCCGGCATCAACCTCGCCCCGGAGTGCCAGGCCGCGATGGAGCTCTTCTGAAACTCGCCGCTGTGCTTCGAGCTCCAGGCGTCCAGCCGCTTCAAGGACCCGGGGCTCCGGGACCTCATGGCATTCCTGCGCGGGCCGGGGAAGCAGGCACCTCCGGCCATCCGGGCCATGTGGAACGCCATGCATGTGACGCCTGACGATCGTCGGCTCCATGCGGGAGGACAGGTTCCAGAATGGGGCATCGTCGGGTCCTACTGGGGCACTGCGGCTTGGTGGATGAACATCGTGCGCGCCCAGTGGGGCGCGGACGTCCTGAAGGAGCTCCTCCTCCCTGCGCAGGCAGCCGACGGGTCTGCCCCTGCGATGAGCGCGAGGGGCGCCAAGATGATGAACTGTGCCAGCCCGAAGAACGCTGGCGGCGTGCGCGGGCTCCTCCCGGTGCACGTGGGCGCGCGGATCCGGCTCTTGGAGGCGCTCGACCTCAAGAGCGGCCTCGTCAAGGATGCCGATGGGGCAGATCGTGCGCGTCGTTGTGGATCCGCGTGGCAGGGCCGTGGTCGAGCAAGCCGAGAGGCTGCCCGGGTTCTGGGTGCGGATGGGGAAGTACACGGGCGCGCCCCGCGCGGGCGACCTGGGGCGCCGCGACGACGGCCTCGCGGGAGAGCTCGCGGGCCCGCTGGCGTTCATCGAGCCTCGCGCGTCGGAGCCGTTCACCTTCTGCGCCTCCAAGGTCACCCGCGCCGGCTTCCCGTTCTCGCGCGGCGGGGCCATCGCCGCGGTGGCGTGCCAGGGGCGCGCCGTGCGAGATGGCGACCGGGCGAGGGGGCGGCGCTCGCGTGCAGTCTGCAGCCGCGCTTCTTGGGCGCGAGCAGTGCGCTCCGCGCCCCCTCGGTTATGTGGGCTCTCGCCCTGGGCGGCGGGCTGCCCGACGCGCTGCCCCCTCGGCCGACGTCGCCCAGGCGTGATCTTGGACTGCGGCCGCCACGAGGTCGGGGGCGGCAAGAAAGTGGGCGACGACTGGTGGGCTGCTCTCGCGCGCCGCGCGCCATGAGGACCTCCTGCTCATGAGGGCGCCGCGCGTCGAGTTCTTCCTCGCCGGGCCGCCAGAGGGCTTGTGGAACCAGCCGGGGCAGTTTGCGGCGCGTGCGAGGCGCAGCAGGAGAGAGGCGACGGCCCTTGCCGTGGAGTTGGGCTTCAACGAAAGTATATCCGTCAGGCCTGACTTGAGGGGCATTTTTGTTAGCGCTGCGCTGCGGACGTTGCAGCGGCGCGCCTGGCTGTTATTTGATCATCTGGCTTCCAGCCTGGGACGACCTGCGCGCGTCGCCGGGCCTCCTTCGGGGGGGCCGTCGCGCGTCGCGGGGGCTCCGTGCTGCGATCCGCGCAGCGCCTCGCTCGCCCGTCCTCGCTCTGCCCAGCGGTTGGCCCGTTGTCGGCCAGCTAGCTCTCCGTCCTCCGCGCAGCGGACGACCCGCGCGCGTCGCCTGGACCCCTGCAGGGCAACTGGCGCGCGTCGCGAGGACTCCGCGCAGCGCTCTGCCCAGAGCCGCTGTCGCCAGGGCGCAGTCTGTCAGTTTATTGCTTTGCCCAGTGCCGCGGACGACCCGCGCGCCTCGCCAGAATTGCCATGGGGGCGACCGGCGCGCGTCTCGGGGATTCCGCGCCGCGCCCCGCTCAGAGCCGCGTCCATCAGGGCGCCAGGCGAATGGGATGCAAAGACGTGAGCTGGGAAAAAACAGGATGCAAAACGGCCGCGCGCGGGATTGGGGAAAAAAATGGAGACAACACCGCCGCTCACGGAGCTTGAGCCGCCGCGGGCCCCCTTCCTCCATCTCATATCCTTCGCGGTGCTCGCAGCTGGGTCCTTCGTCAGCCGTTTTTTTCTCGACGGGCGTTTTCGCGTGGTTTCGGGCCCTGGGGCCCTTTCAGGTCGATCCGGCTTGAAGAATGGCGACGAAAGATGGGGCTTAGGGTTCTGATCGTTTTTCGTTCGTGTTGCGATCTTGCAGGTGTTTTGCACGGTCAGATACGAGGGTTCGTCCGCCATCCCACCAGCCCAGGTAAGGATAAACCGTTCGAAACCCGAAGGGAGCAGTCCATACCCCAATGTAAGGGGGGTCGTTCGGCAGTGGGGCCGTGGCCGCGCCAGTGAGGATAGGGATCGGTTTGGCGATGCCCACAGGTCGCTGCGTTTCCGCGCCGCCGCGGCCTCCAGGGGCAACGTTACGGGGGGAACAGCTCAGGGGGGGACGCATCGGTCTCCAATCGCTCACTCATCGCTTGTAGTGGCCCGATAGCCCGCCTCGCCCAGGGGCGTGCGGCGTCGCTATCGGGGGCTTATCGTCGATCTATCGGCGATGTATCGCCGATTTCAGCTCGATGTTTCCCCCCTGAACTGGTCACCCCCTTACGTCCCCCCGCCCCCCAGGCCTCCTCCCGCAGCTTGGCGCCGCTCGAGAAGCCGGGCGTGGCAGCATCGAAGGACCCCCCCTCAGATCCAACCGATTTTTTCAAACCGCGCGTTTCGGGCCCCGGGCCCTCATGGATCGACCCTGTTCGAGGAGCGCCGCAGAAGGACGGGGTCTGGGGTTCAGGTCGCGATCTTTTGCGATGTTGCATTGTTTTGTTGCGTCGTCGGATTTCAGGGTCGTGAGCGACGAACACATGCACCTCCCAATAGTGCTTTCCCGAGAGGTTCTACTCAGCATCGGTGCTGGTACCTACCCGTGGCCGAAAACTGGCCCCATACCCTTCACTCTTTCCTGCGTAGACCTTCCAGCAGGTGCCTCTTACCATATCCATGCCCTTGCGGTCTGGGCACCGAGGCGCGATCCCACGTATGCGCGATCCCCTGAGCACGCTCTGCGCAGGGCATCCGCACAGGGCCGCTTTGTGCCCATGGTGTCGCGGCAGAGTCGTCTGGATCGCGGGGCCATGGATGTGGACATGTTGCCCGCCCGCGAGGATCTCGCTTCATCTGAGACCGCAAATATCGGCATCGAGATCCCCATGGAGTGCTTCATAGCCCTCCCCGAGGCGGACACGTACGCCCTGCGGACGATCATAGCCGACGTGTTACGAGCACAGCTGGTAACAGAGAATCTCAGCACAGTAGAGGTGACTGCACCATCCGTGCTAAGAATGCTCCGCACGAACTCCTCGAGCGGCTCCCTGCGTGTTGCAGTCGAACCTCGGATCATCTTTCGGGCCTCCGTGCGCTACGCCAACGCGAGCATCTCTGCCGTAGAGTCGTCCCTGTCGTCGAGCTACTTGGGAGCCAACATCGTGGTAGCGGCAGAGGAGGAGCTCCCTGGCTTTCGGAGCGCTTGCGGTGGTGGGCCCCGCGCTCTCAGCGTGGTTCCCCGTGGACTGTCGCTCGCCGATCTGATGCCAGCTCACCGGGACGACTTTGAGCGCGTAGATGACAGCTCTGCTTCTGCCCCCGGCGGCAGCTGGCCGCGCTGGCTGCCCCCGGCGCTGGTCGCTTCGGGCGGCACGGTCTGGGTGGTGGCGGCCCTGCACTTTGGGCGCTCCCTGCTGAAGGAGCGCCTCGGCGCGGCGACGCCGCACAAGCCGCAGCTGTGCCCCGACGGCCGCGCCGAGCCCGACCGCCACGACGTCGACGCGATCGTGGTGCCCGGCGGCGGCCTGATGCCCTGCGGGGAGGCCCCGCCGTGGACGGAGGAGAGGCTGCTGGAGGCCAGGGCGCTGTTTGAAGAGGCCGCGGAGAAGTCGAAGAAGAATAATGATAAGTAACGCTATGGACAGAAACTTTCGGAGCTCCGCGCGGATACCTTGGAGCCGCGGTGGGGCCCCCCGGCGTCGCCTCCAGCGCCGCCCCTGGCGCGCTCCGCGCGCCAGCGAGGGGGGTCCAGCGTAGTTCCAGGATATCCGCGCGGAGCGCCAAAAGTTTATGTTGCTGGCGTTCGTATTTCGGTGGTCCGCGCGGATGTCTCGGGTTTCGAGTCGAGGCGCTGGAGCAGGGGCTTCTTTGGGCTCGGGAGGGGCTCTGAAATTTGGAGCCGTTCCCCAGATCCAGGTCGATAACCGCTTCGTGGCCGAAGCTTGCCGTTGCCAGAAAAGACCCTTCTTTCCTTCATCCGCGTTCCTTTGGTAGCACGAGGACTGCAGTCTTTTGGAGGTGCGCGCTGATTTGTTGGGCCTCGCCCGGTTCGCATCAGTTGCATTGTCCAGTCCGCATGTCCTTCCCATGAGACCCGGGACGACGGTCGTGCGGCGATGATCCGACGAAGTCCGACGTGAATCCAATGAAACTGGGTTTCGAGTTACCGCCCGAGGACTCCAGTAGTTTCCTCACAAGTTGGCGCCGGACCCCGCATCATCAGCGCGCGGAGCGCGCCAGAGGCGGCGCTGGAGGCGTCGCCAGGGGGGTTAGCGCCGATTCCAGAAGCCCGCGCGGACCTCCGAAAATCTCGTGTTTGAGCAGTTTTTTTGTTCTTCGGGAGGAGCAGATCGCGAGGACCTTTGGGAAACCGCGGCTCGTGGCCCCCACGATCGTGACTCACAATGCCTGGAATCCAACCGCCCCGAACCGTGGCAACTACTTCGGCAGCGGCGAGACCTGCGAGGCGGACGTGTGCGCCCGCTACCTGCACGAGAGGTACCCTCAGACCTCAGCGTTGCGACGTTCTCACACTGGGCGTTCTCGCCCAGCTTCAGGCCTCAGGACGTTCACAGATCGATCTGGCTCGACGCATGCCGCAGGAAAATGTGGTCCAGGGCTCCGGCCGTGATTTTTTGCGATGCTGCATCTTTTTTGCAACGTCGGACCTCAAGGTGTGGCGTGCCCAAGCAGGCCGTGTGGCCGGACATTCTCAGCTTCACGCTCATAGGTAACGCGTACTTCTGCAGGATGGTGTGCGTCTCGGGTCGGGCGAAGCGGGGTTTGCGATTTTGGTTTGTATCCTCGGGCGCGTAGAAGTCGTGACCCGGTCCTGCCCCCGCCCAGGTGATGGGGGCCTGGAGCCCCCCGCATGCTGGTGTTCGCGCGCGTACTGTGGCGATCGCAGTGCACTCCCACCCTAACGGGCCCCACCCCCGCCCCGCCCCGAGCGATCTTTTTTCGAACTCTGCGGCATGCAGCCGGTCGCGGCCCCGCCGCCGGGCGCTTTGGGCGCCTCGGGCGCTGGAGGCGGGGCGAGGCGAGGCGAGCGCGCGGCAATTTTTGCCTGGGGGCGAGGCCCTTCAGGGCCTGCGCTGAGGGGTCACAGGCCTCAGCGCATGTTGCCCGTGCTTCGCCGAAGAATCCCTGCCAGTTGTCCGTTTCGCATGTCCGTGCCAGCGTCCATTCGCACGCCGTGTCGGCACGCACGGTCCTGCTGGAACTCGGGAGGCTGACGTCCGGGGTACTGCAGCGGAGGCTGAAGAAGATGTCGAGGTCGGGCGCTGGAGGCGCCGGCTGGTGCCGCTGCTCCTGGCCCTCTCCTGGGGTTCGTTTGGACGTTGATCTGGAGGCGAATGCTGATGGGATTGTTTTCCACCACCCACCATAAGTTGGAGGCCCCTACAACGGTTCATGTCCATTGAGGGAACTGCCTCGTTGGAAGACAACAGTTTGAAGATCCTGAAGCGTGCCGAAACATTGTCCGCGGGATTTCAACGCCACGTATCAACCTGACTGCTGCGTCTTGACTCCAGAATCGTGCTAGAACGCCATTTTTGGGACTTCAACACAGCGAATCAACATAACTGTTGCGCCCGCATGATCCTGAATTTATCCAAAACGTTATTTCTGGTACGTTGATCATGGGAATCCGTGAAACTCGTGCAAAGTTTGAAACATGATGTGCGCGGGGCTAAGGCGAGAGCCACATTTTGGAAAAGGAACCGCCCTCAATCAATGAAACTCTTTGATTTTTGTAAAACGAGCCACATTTTGAAAACGACCCGCCTTCAATCCGTGAAGTTCTTACAAATTATTAAACAGAATGTGCGCGGCGCTAGGGCGAGAGCCGCATTTCGAAAACCACCCGCCCTCAATCCGCTGAATTCTTGCAATTTTTTAAAACGAATGTGCGCGGCGCTAATGCGAGAGCCACATTTTGAAAACGACCCGCCCTCAATATGTGAAGTTGTTGTCTTTTTTGAAGCTTCAGGGCCATAAATGGTGAGGAAATCTCAGGCGAAACGCCCGGCCCGCCCTAAAAACTGGCCTCGGGGTCCGACAGGGAGGAGTTATCTATAAGGAAGAGGAAAGGAGGAGGAGGAGGAGGAGGGGGAGGAGGATGAGGAGGAGGGGGAGGAGGAGGAGGAGGAGGAGGAGGAGGAGGAGGAGGAGGAGGAGGAGGAGGAGAAGGAGGAGGAGGAGGAGGACCCCTCCCTCTCCTACTTAAGGTGGTGGCGGTGGAAGACAAGCCCGCCAAATGCGTCCGCGGCGACGGGAGAGGGGTGCGGCAGAGCTTCACCGCGTCGGCGCGGCGGCGACCCCAGCCCGGGCGTTCAATGTTGAATGCTGACAGCGGGCGATCCGCGTTGTATGGAGGGCGCGACCGCTTACCCGTCGGTCGCTGAGAGTAAGTAGGTACTTCTGGCATCCCCAGATCACAATCTACTCTAGCCGGCCTTCCTACTTCAAGGGTCGAGCGGTTTTCCCTCTTCTCTCCTCTTCGGGGAGCGTGCGGAAGCCCAATCTACTTCCAACGCCTTCCTACTTCATGTTTCTACCCACTTCTTACGACTGACGTGTAAGGCTGAGCGATTTACGTGTTGTCGGAAACCGCCGACGAGGTCGTCACGCTACATATCTTCCGCATCGGCATCGGTATCCTTTTCTCCTCTGCAGGATGATGTTCGTCGAGGCCCGCGATATGCGGCACGTCGCGGTCGTCACCAACCGCTTCCAGATGAAGAGGGCCAAGGCAGGGTGCACTTCGACCCGATCCGATCCTATATCAATGATGGCCCGCCCGATCCGATTTGAATCCCATGCTCCGACGATGCGATGCGGCCCGACGCTCGCATGGTCGCTGCTGTGCATTTTGGCGCTGCCAAGTCGATCCGACTCCGACTCCGACTCCGACTCCGCGCCCGCCGACGCGGCCCGATCTCCAGACTCCCGACGTTTTTTTTGTTTGCGTGGACCCCAGAGGTCTGGACCCCTTCCTGGGGGGCCGTTTGCTGTGGTCCTCCGGGGCAGTTTCTCAACGGCCCCCAGGCCCAGCAAGGGCTCCCCGAGGCAGCACACAGCCCGCCGTGGGTCTCTGTCCTCGACGCGAGGGGCCCTGGGTCCGAGAAGCGCGCTCCGGCCCCGCCCGCTCTCCCGGCGCGACGCCGACCGATCCCGCGGAGGCGGTCTTCGGCAAGATCTTCTCCCTGCCGCCCCTGCCCCACGGCGCGTGGTCGGCGGGCCACCACCTGCGAGCGCCGGGGGGGCCCCGGGGAGCCGTCGTGCCCTCGGCCTCCTGGGGCCGGCAGAGGCAGCCGGCGCGTCAGAGGTGTCGCCGAGAGTCGAAGGGCAGCCGGCGGTAGCAGCATCTACTCTCGACGATGGGCGCGTTTTTCTTGCATCTGCGCTGGGCCCCCCTGGCCTGCTCCGCGCGCCAAGGAGGGGGTCCAGCGCCGATCCCAGAATTTCGCGCGGAGCTCCACGAGTTTACATGTATGCTGGTTTTTGTTTGCTCCTCCACCGGTGCAGCCGACGCCGCATACTTCGCCAAGAGAGGACGGGGTCCCCAGGCGAAGAGGTGCTCCCTGGGCCCGCCACGGTCCCCCCGTAGGACTGTCGGGGCACGACTCAGGATGACAAGCTCGTCTGGGGGGAGTCGACTCGCGGCCCCAGAAATCAGCACACTGGTTCAGCCCGAGGAAGGCCGCAGAAAGAACGATGGGGTCCACGCCTCGGGTCCAGGGCTGTGGTCATGAACGCTGTTTTGCGGGACTTCGGCCGTGCTTTTGTTTTTCGTTCTGGGAGGGAGGAGCAGGAAAAGAGGTTGAGCAAAACGGACAACTAAACGAAAACAACGAAAAACAACGTTTATGTCCAGCCCTGCTCGGGTCTTGACTCAGGGCCTCGGAAACCAGGACATTGCAAACCAGAACTTTGCAAGATCCACTGGGCGAGAGGTGATGCATGAGGGATGCTTTGACGCACGGCTGCAGCTTTCCTGGGTGTGCCAATGCCCTGGCCTGGCAGAGTCCCGCTTATGGGGCCCGGATCAACGCGTCAGGGAACCAGCCAGTTTTAGGTTCTTCGGCGGAGGAGGGGGGGCCCCCCGCAGGTTCCCCAGATGGCCCCAGAAGCCTCCCGAGTCCCGAGACCCAAAGAAAGGCCGGAGACTTTGAACCACCTTGATCCTCCCCTCTCCCTCCTCCAACGAGTTTTGTGCGCTCGTACCTGGGGCCTCCTTGGCCATCTGTGTGGCCCGACCGATCGCGGCTCGAAGGCCGGGAGGACTGGTACACGCTCTCCTTCCGAGAGGCCGCCGACGCGGGCCTGGAGCCGGAGGAGCTCGCGGCACTGCGGGAGCAGGAGAGGCTCGCGCTGCGGAATTTCGAGGCGCTGCAGGACCTTGCTCCTCCCCCCCTCCCTCCATCCTCGGGGGCAACGATAGGGGGGGACATGCATGAGGGGGGATGTACCGACCCCCAATCGCCCATCGACCCCCAACCACCCCGCCCAGGAAGATGCGGATTCACTACCGGGGGCCTATCGCCGATGTATTGACGATGTATCGCCGACTCCAGGTCGATGCATCCCCCCGGTGCCTATCCTCCCCTATCGTTACCCCTCACATCCTCCCTCCTCCTCTTCCTCTCCTTCCTCGCCCTTCCCGTCGCAGCGGCACACTGCGCCGCGTCCCTCCTGCCCGTTGCGGCTTGTTGGTGGTTTGGGTGCTTTGCGCCCCCGTTTTGCCGGCGAGACGCGACAGACCCGTTGGAGGACCAGACTCGAATTGTAGATCGTCAGTGTCTCTAGCGTAGCACGGAAGCGGTTTAGCGGGGCTTGGCCATGGGCGCGTGGTTCAAGCCTGGCCAGGCACCGCGCCCGTCCTACTGTGTTTTGTACACAGCCCGCTTTACATCGCTCTACAGAAAACATACGTCTTCACATGTCGCTTCACATTCTAGTCTTCACATGTCGCCACCTCCCACGTTGTCGCCAATTTGCATGGCTCCCGCTTATGATTGCACATCACGCGACCGTGACTTGTGTGGGATCTTTATCCGCTAGGACGCCCGTCGGCTTGTAGAGCAACATCATCACAATGAGAAGGGATCAGTGGGGTGGGTTGGAGGTCAGACGGGGCGCGAGCGCATCTAGCTTGCCGCCCCCCCTCTCTCTTCCCCCTCCCCGTCCCCTTCACATTTACATACTCGAGTACGCGTCTCCGCCCTGCCCTGACCACGTGCAGGAGGTATCCCGCCCTCTCCGCGTATTGTGACTGTTTCCGCACAGGGTTTCATACAAAAAGGTACAGAGTCTCATGTTTTGGTTTACGCTCCGCTTGTGCTCGGAGTTTCTAATGTCATGCCCGCGGCAGAGTGGGCCCCCTTTTCCGATCGGCGCTTTGCTCCTGCCGTTCAACATGATACTCTTGTCCCAGCGCGGGACACCTTTCCGAATCCGAGCCCTTTTCTTTTTGTTTTCGTCCCCTCACTTCCCCTCCCCCGCCTTCCCCTAGTTTGCCCGGTCCTCCCGCTTCTTTTAGTCCAGCTGCTGCTGTTGCCGCTCGTCCTCGTCCTCCTTCTCCTTTCTCTTCCTTTTCCTCCTGCTCGTCCTCCTCCTCATCCGCCACCTCCCCATCTTTCAACGCAGCTTCCATTTTCCGATTAGGTCGAACACGATGGGGTCTTTCTGGGGGTTCCAGGCCCTCTATGACACACGTCCGCGCAGAGATCAGAAACCAACGCAATGAAAAGGGATCGAAAGGGAGTGGCCGGACGTCAGGTATGACGCGAATGGGCATAGCTTGCCCCCTATTCTTCTCCCCTCCCCTTCCCCGCTCCCTCATTCTTTCACCATGCGAGCTGGGAAACAGCTCGGCAAAAACCCTCCCCTTCCTCCCTCCTCATTCCCCTGCCGCCGCCCCCCCCTCCCCCCTTGCCCCCTCCCCTCCCCCCTTCCTTTCCTCCTCTACCTTCTCTTCCTCCTCCTCCTCCTCCTTTTTCTACCATCCCCCCTCTTCCGCCTCCTTCGCCTGCTGCTGCTGCTGCTCCTCCTCCTCCTCCTACTTTTCATTCGCCTCCTTTGCCTCCCTTGCCTGCCCCGCCTGCCCCTCCCGCTCCGTTGCCCCGTTTCCTCCTGCCCCCTCCCCTGTCTCCTTGCTCCTCCCCCTCCCCCTTCCCCCCTCTTTCCAATCTCCTCCTGCCCCCTACCTTCCCGTCTCATTCCCGAGTTCCTTAAGTCCCTTCTCCCTGCTCCCCACTCTCCCGCTCTATCCTCCTGCTTCTCTTCCTCCTGCTCGTTACCTTCCTCTTTATCCTCCTCCTCCTCCCCCCCCTTATGTAACCTGCAACCTCATGGCATGAAAGTTCTCCTGAACGTTGCCTCCTCCGCCTCCTCCTCCTTCTCGTCCTCCTCATGCTCATCCTCCCTCCTCCCCCTTCATTCTTCCTCCCTCCCTCCCTCCCTCCCTCCCTCCCTCTCCTCCTCCTCCTCCTCCTCATCCTCCTACTCTGTCAGGATCGCTTCACGACCGTCGAGGCGGTGCACCGCTTCCTAGTCGGCGTCTTCGACGATACCAGCTCCCAGCTCGCCTCGGCCTCCGCGCGGTGTGCTTAATGGCGCCAGCTGGCAGGGGGGCTTGCGAGAACGACGGCGGAGAGGAGGAGGAACATGATGATCAGCATGCGAGGGTAGGGAGGAGGAATAGGAGGATGAGGATGAGGAGGATCAGGCAGCTTAAGTCCGATCAACGTCAAACAGATGATGCTGATGATGCTGATGATGCTGAGGAGAATGAGGAGGAGGAGGAGGCGGAGGAGGAGTACGAGGAGCAGGAGGCGGAGGATGCTATGCGATGCGATGCGACCACCGCTGCGGACGCGGTCTGGGTCTAGCTAAGACCAGGTGGGCGAGGCCGTGGCCTCAAGAATCTGGTGTGTCTGAACAACATGCGATGCGATAGGAGGGAGAGAGGGAGGGAGGGGAAAGGTCCTTGACGTCGATGTCGGCGTGATGCTCTTTCACGTGTTGGCGTAGTGGTGCTTGAGAGTTGACCACGTCATGGTGTCTTGGGCCGTACGAATCCACGTGAGGTCGTTTGGCTGCCCTTTGTTCCGTGTAGGAGCCGGGGCTGGGTGGAGGTCTGGCCTGCGCTGACGTAGGTGTGCGAGAACTTCATCGTCCCAGCGCTTGTGCTGGCCCCCTTGTTGTCGATGGGCGTCTGGCTGCCACTGCAAAGCTCTCCACGTCCACCTGGTGGGCGCGTGCTTGGCCACTTTGGCGGCCGTTCTCTATACCCTCCATACCTCCGTTTTGTGTGTCGTCACCCAGTTGTCTGCGTGGTGGAACTTCATAGGCTGCTCTGCGCGTCGCGTGGCGCGTTGGATGTGTTCTGCCCAAGGTTCCACGAGGTCACGTCGTTGCTGTTGTCGGTGCCATCACTGCGTCGTGTTGGTGTGGACGCTGTGTCATGTTGTGGCGGATTGCTGTCTGCGTCGTCGCTCCTGCTGTTGTCGTGGGAGTTGTCGTGGGAGTCGTCGTGGGAGGCTCTGTCCGGCGCGTATTTCGGCACACCCCTCACGAGGATCGTGGCCCCATGGGGAGCTCCACCGCAGGCCCCAGTTGCAGGGTTCGCATGGCGGCCTCGGGCCATTTCGGCACACCCCTCACGAGGGTCGTGGCCCCATAGGAGCTCCAGCGAAGGCGCCAGGGGCAATGTTCGTTCGCATGCCGGCCTCGGGGCATTTCGGCACACCCCTCACGGGGATCGTGGCCCCATGGGAGCTCCAGCGAAGGCGCCAGTGGCAAGGTTCGCATGGCGGCCCCGGGCCATTGCGGCACACCCCTCACGAGGATCGTGGCCCCATAGATGTGTTGCTTCAACAACCGCGCCTGGGCGTCGTACTCCGTCGTGTCGACGTGCAACGCCACCTCCTCCCTCATGGCTCTCAAAGCCCTCTTCTGCTTTTGCTCCTCGGTCAGAGGGACGCCGTCCGTGTCGTCGTCGGCGCCCGCGAAGACGGCCACGAACGTGTTCCTGAGCATGTCGGGTTCCGGCGGGAAGCTGTGGCCACATAGGAAGCGCGGGCAAAAATGGTATTCACAATTGCGGTATTCACAATTGCATATGGTTGGGTCCTTCGCCAGGCTAATAGTCGTAGTCGTAGCAGGAGTAGTAGTCGTAGTCGTAGTAGATGTAGTAGATGTAGTAGTGGTAGTAGTAGTAGTAGTAGTAGTAGTAGTAGTAGTAGTAGTAGTAGTAGTAGTAGTAATAGCAGTCGCAGTAGTAGTAGTAGTAGTAGTAGTAGTAGTAGTAGTAGTAGTAGTAGTAGTCGTAGTAGTAGTAATAGTAGTAGTAGTAGTAGTAGTAGTAGCAGCAGTAGTAGTAGTAGTAGTAGTAGTAGTATGAACAGTACTAGTAGTAGTCGTAGTAGTAGTAGTAGTAGTAGTAGTAGTAGTAGTCGTATAAATATTAGTAGTTGTTGTTGATTGCGCAATCGTAGTAGTAGATCTAACAGTAGTAGTAGCTGTAGTGGTAGTAGTAGTGGTGATCGTCGTAGTAGTAGTGGTTGTAGTCGTAGTAGTAGTAATAGTAGTATTTGTAGTAGTCGTAGTAGTAATATTATTAGTAGTAGTAGTAGTAGTACTAGTAGTGGTAGTTGTAGCCGTAACAATTGTATGAGTAGTCGCGTAATCGTCGTGAAATGTGTAGTAGTGGTCTTACTTGTAGTAGCTTTCGTAGTTGAAGTAGTAGTGGTAGGTTTAGTAGTAGAAGTAGAAGTAGCACCTGGAGTCGTAGTAGCGGTAGTCGTCGTAGTAGTAGTAGTAGTAGTAGTAGTAGTAGTAGTTGTAGTAGTAGTAGTAGTAGTAGTCGTCGTCGTCGTCGTCGTCGTCGTCGTCGTATTAGTAGTAATCGTGGGAGTAGTGACCGTAATAGTCGCAGTGGTAGTAGTAGTAGTAGTAGTAGTAGTAGTAGTAGTAGTAGTAGTAGTAGTCGTAGTAGTAGTAGTAGTAGTAGTAGTAGTAGTAGTAGTGGTAGTGGTAGTAGTAGTAGTAGTAGTAGTAGTAGTAGTAGTAACAGTAGGAGTCGTATTTGTAGTAGTGGTAGTACTGGTAGTAGTAATAGTCGTAGTAGTAGTAGTAGTGGTCGTAGTAGTAGTGATAGTAACCGCAGGCGTAGAAGTAGTAGTAGTCGTCGTAATGGTGGTCGTAGCAGTAGTAGTAGTAGTAGTAGTAGTATTATTAGTAGTAGTAGTAGTAGTACTAGTAGTCGTAGTAGTAGTAGTAGTCGTCGTAGTCGTAGTCGTAGTCGTAGTAGTAGCAGTAGTCGTAGTCGTGGTAGTCGTAGTCCTAGTCGTAGCAGCAGTAGTAGTAGTAGTAGTAGCAGTAGTCGTAGTCGTAGTCGCAGGAGTAGTAGTCGTAGTAGTAATGGTGCTGGTAGTAGTAGTAGTAGTAGTAGTAGTAGTAGTCGTGGTGGTCGCAGTAGTAGTAGTAGTAGTAGTAGTAGTAGTAGTAGTAGTAATAGTAGTAGTAGTTGTAGTGGTTGTAGTCGTAGTAGTAGCAGTAGTAGTAGTAGTAGTAGTAGTAGTAGTAGTCGCAGTCGTAGCACTAGTAATCGTCACCGTAGTCGTAGCCATCGTGATGGTATTAGTAGTAGTAGCATCAGTAGTAGTAAAAGTAGTCGTAGTAGTAGCAGTAGTAGTAGTAGTAGCAGTAGTAGTAGTAGTAGTAGTAGTAGTAGTAGTATTAGTAGTAGTAGTAGTCGTCGTAGTAGTCGTAGCAGTCGTAGCAGTAGTAGTAGTAGTAGTAGTAGTAGTAGTAGTAGTAGTAGTAGTAGTAGTAGTAGTAGTAGTAGTAGTAGAAGTAGTAGTAGTAGAAGTAGTAGTAGTAGTAGTAGTAGTTAGTGCAGTAGCCGTAGTAGTAGTAGTAGTAGTAGTAGTAGTAGTAGTAGGAGTAGGAGTAGGAGTAGGAGTAGTAGTAGTAATAGCACTGTACCAGTCGTAGCAGTATTCGTTGTTTTTTTTCAGTAGTAGTAGTAGTAGTAGTAGTAGCAGTAGTAGTAGTAGTAGTAGTAGTAGTAGTAGTAGTAGTAGAAGTAGAAATAGTAGTAGTAATAGTCCCAGTAGTAGTAGTAGTAGTAGTAGTAGTAGTAGTAGTAGTAGTAGTAGTAGTCGTCGAAGTAGTAGTAGTAGTAGTAGTAGTAGTAGTAGTAGTAGTAGTAGTAGTCGTAGTAGTAGTAGTAGTAGTAGTAGTAGTAGTAGTAGTAGTAGTAGTAGTAGTAGTAGTAGCAATCAAATGGCAAGAAAATTCTTCACCGTGCCTCGAGTATGATCTTTCGATGGAGAACGTATGGGACTACTTGGAGAGCAGAGGTTGCAAACTCGCTTTCGACCACCCGTTATTGGACGGAGCCAATGAGGATAGAAAACGCCCGGCTCATGGCCAAGAAGAGGCCGCGGCCAAGCCGCCAGCGCAGCCGGCAGGCTGGTCCGCCTCTGGTGCAGCCATGCTTCCACCGCGTTTTGGTGGTCTTCAGGAACCGAAACCTCCGCCTCCCAAAACAGCCGGACCTCCTGTGCCGCCGACCCCTAAAGGTCAGGGGGACACGACGGCTGCTGAGTCGGAGAACGACTCTCAGGAAGGGGGCCTGTCTCCTACGGCGCCGCCGCCGGGGGACAGGTATCCTTGGGAACCGTTGTCAGACAATGCGTCGAAGCCGCTTCCGCCCCCTCCTGGGCCTGCCCCGAAGTCGCTGGCCAAGCCAAGTGACTCCCATCAGATGCCAAAGAGAGAGCCCAAAGCGCCGCCACCAAACACATCGAAATCAGTGGAGGCCCTCTCTGAGAGACGACCCATTTACGACTGCGGCGGATGCGCCAGGCGTAGGAAGCGCGAAGAGTCGAACTGCGCCTCCGACGTTCCCTCCAAGGGACCCCCCGCGTTTCGATCTTCAACATGGCAAAAAGGCACCTGGTTCCCCAACAGAGGCACAGCAAGAGCAGCACAGCAAAGCCGGAGCTAGCCAGAGGACAATGGAAGTATGTGCCCTTGAGGGTCCTCGAACTCTTGTGCTTGACTTGCCAGATCCTCCTCCTGCGGATGCGATAGTGCGCGACCTGCAGGCGTCCCAACCAGATAGGCTTGGTGAGGGTGACGGAGAAGGGGCAAAGTATAAGTTCGATTTGTTGTTGCCCCCAAGTGATCTCCCGGGAAATGATGTTGTGTCAGCGTTTCTTAAATTGGCCAGGGATCTTTTATCCATGCATTTTGGGCCCCGATTCGAGCCGAGCGCATTTGTCACTGCGCAACGAGCTGATCATGCTCTGGCAAGCCCGCCCCGGCGGACTTCAGCTTGACAGTGTTAGGGGGCTCGCTGTTGAAGAGGCGACTTTTTTGAGGGGTAACATGATCACCTGGGCACTTCGCTATCTGAAGCAAGCAGATGAGAAGAGGAATGGACCCTCTGAGTACTTGTTGACTGCGTTGACCGGTACAACCGGGCCCAACGAGGGGTCCGCCGCGTCGAAAACAGATGGGGGAAGTGATGCGCGACCCACTGAAACGCAGGACAATAGACGGGGGACGTGTTGCCTGCGAATTGCGGTCCAGTAGTCACG